TTAACCCTGGGCAGCTCAGGCGGGACCTGGCACTTGGGTTTTGAGTCCCCAAAGCTGTGCCCGGCCTTGCAGGGTGGGCACAGCGGGGCAGCCTCCAGCTCTGCGGGGCGACAGGGGTACCGCCCTGGCAGCGTGGAAGTGCTGGGGCCGGCAGGGCCGCTCCGCTGCTCCCCGGGAGAGGCTCAGATGTGACAGTAAAAAGCCGCGTGTGCTGTGTCAGGCGAGAGCTGAGATGGGTGGGCGGTCGCACTGTTTATAAATAGGCTTAATTGAGACGTGTGCCTGGCTTCCATTTGTAACATCCTTTGCCAGCCTAAACTGTGATGCAGAACTGTAATTATCAATGGTTTGTGTCGCTGAAAACTCAGTGTTGAGCCTTCGTTGGTTCTGTTGGAGAGGTGGCCTTGCCCTCCTGCTCTGAGCGCAGTACTTGGGGCGTCCTGTGTCTCCTGAGCCCTTCCCTCAGCGGGCAAGCGTGCCGTCCATCCCAAAGCGATGCCGGGCTCTTTGGTGACTTGGAAGGGGAAGCAATTGCTCCAGGCAAGGACTACCCCTGAAAATGAGCAGGATAATTGAGGATGGAATGCAAAGAAGCCCCCAGAGAGCAGCACTTGGGGTAGGGGGGCTCAGGGGTGCACAGGAGTGGGCCCAGCTGGCATTCGGTTGTGCTGTCACTGTCATCAGCTTGGTTCTGGCAGTGGGGGTGGAGGACTTGCTCTGCAGAAGAGCTGTGTCCAGCAGAGGACGTGGAGCCGTGCGTGAGTGTGCGCCTACGACCCCTCATGCGCATTCAGCCCCTGCGGATTGATCTGCAGGGTCACAGCTCCGGGAGATCTGGTTCCGTCAGGCTGGAAGAGCGAACGTCCTTGGTGTGAACTCACCAAGGAATGCATCTGCACTGTTTATGCAGCTTGCTTTGATCCGCCTCGGTCACGTTTCGTTGTCCTTTGTCCTGCAGGCATCCGAGTGCTGGATGGACCCCTCACCGACAGCATGGAGGCCATCGCCTTCAACAAGCACTATCAGATCAACGACATCTACAGCTGCAGGTGAGCCCCTGAGCCGAGCGTGTCCCACAGCGGGAATACCTGGGCTTGGTGCGGTCAGGCTGTCTTGGGGGCTCTGCAGTCAGGCGCATTTGTTACCGCTGTGAAGAGAAACATCGATATTCTTGTTATTGCTGGAGAGCTGGCCCAGGCTGTACTTGGCCTCCTTCGGAGCACTGCTCCAGCACCTCCCGCAGACTGGCTGAGCTGGAGGGGCACTGTCCCCCCCCCCGCTGTGGTGATGGGGACCGGAATGTGTGAGAAGCTGGTAGTTAAATAAAAATCAAACATTCTGCCCGCTGGAATCTGACCCAGGGGCACAGTGCAAACATGACAGCAATATCCCAGCAGCGAGGGGCCAACCTGACGGATGGGAAAGCACAGCGCCCTCCGATCCGATCCCGGTCGTAATGCTGGGAGTAGCTGGTGGCTGCTTGTAGCTCCCCGTAATGGGAGGGAGAGTTGCTGTCTGCAGCTCCTGGGGCGGTCGCTTCATGGTGTCTCCCTTTGCAGCTGGGGTCCAGATGACGATGGGAAAACTGTGGATGGCCCCCATCAACTGGGAAAGGTAAAAAACACTCCCAGCAGCACGGGTCACCCCTGGGCTGCCCCTCTGGTGCTTGTGGTTTCTGGCCTGCCTGGACAGGCGAGGAGGGACGTCGCTGTGGCGCAGCGCACGTTTGCTTCTGTCGCTGCCAACGGAGGTGTTGCATCTTACTGTGGGGTGGGGAGAGGTGATGTTGCTGTGGGAGTGCAGCGTTCGGGCAGAATTAGATGAGCTTTCCAAGGAGAGGCTGGTTCCAGCACGAAAATGCTCTTTCGCAACCCATGGCATTATTCCAACAACTTTGGCAACCTGAGGGACGCTCTCCGCTCAGGAGACTGAGTATTCCCCGTGCTAAGGGCGGTTCTCGAGGCAAGGAGCATGCCTTCGAATGCTAGGAGTAAATAAGGGGCTGACGCGAGGGCTGCATTCCCTCTCGGGGGGCCGCAGGAAGAGCCAGAGCTGAGGCTGCTCCCTCCTGGGCCTTTAAGGCATCCTCGCATTGCCCGCGCCGCAGAACTGCTGCTGCCTGCGCCTGGCTCCCGCTGCCCAGGTGCCGCAGTGAGGGGTCACTGAGGGGGCCCCAGAACTGGCACTGCGTCGCTCCTGGGATGTGGTTCTGCCGAATTTCCCTTTTGCTTGGCAGCCTTCTGCTGTGCTTTTCTAACCGCAAGATAGCAGTTACTGTGCTGTTCGGAGCGATGCTGACAGCTGAGCTATTGGTTCGTGATGACAAATGGTTTCCAGTTCTGCAAGTTAATTTATTCTCTGCCTGCGTGCAGAGGCAGCTGTAACAAGCTCTGGGACACAGCATGCAAGCAGAGCTTGCTTTACCACACCAGGATGTCTGGAGGGCTTTCTGGCCAAGGCAGTATGTGCCTCCACCAGCCGAAGGGAGGGCAGAGAGGAGGGTTGTTTTCTGGTGGGATTGCTTTATTGCTCCTCCATTAGACGCGTACCCTTTACCTAGGCGGGAATGACGTCTGTGCAAGGTGTCAGCCTGGAAATGCGCTTCCCAAGTGGGGCTGGTGTAGTTGTGTTTCTCAGCAAAGGCAAAGCCCAAGCGTATGTGGAGGCTGGGGCCTTGCAGAAGGCAGCGGCCATGTTGGGGTAATCTCTGTTGCGGGAAAGCCCTGGTGCTCCGGAAGAGCCAGCTCCAGAGCGAGCCCTGCTGAATTCGGGAGGGCTAGGGCTGCTGTGCTTGCTCTGGAGTTCAAATGCTGGTCAGTCTTTGTGCTGTCGTTGCCTGGAAGGTTGCTTTTCCTTTTTCTCTTTTTATTTTTAATGCAGAATCCACTTAAAATCATAGTGAGCTATAGATCAGCCATTCCCCAGCCCAGACGCTGGCTGCATCGCTGCCTTTGTAACACGCTCGCTCTGGAATCTCGCTGTCTGGTCGGGGCTCTAGCAGACACAACTCCCTGACGCTGCTAGCCGGGTGAAATAGGGCCCGGAGAGGGGGTTGTGGCTATCACCCCGAGTACTTGGCAGGGCTGGTTATTGAAATCTCAGAGCGTGGACTCAGGTTGCTGGAGGGAGATGCCGGGACAGAGCTTTCCAGCACGTCCTGTGCCTGGCGCAGGCAGCTTGGGAGAGGTGCACGCATCCGCCTGTGCCTAGCTTAGCAGCGAGGTGCGCCGCGAGGTCCGGGAGAGCCCCACTCCCCCCGGGAGAGCAGCTTCCCCTGCTCACAGCCACACGTGAAGCCCTCTGGGGTCAGCAGGGAAGGGCATGGGAAGGGCTCGCCTGCCTCCGTGACCTGACCAGCCACGATTCCTTCTGCGCAGGCCGCCCTGCAGCATGGCGTGATAGCGGGTCGCAGGGGCTTCGGGAGCATTTTCGTCGTGGCCAGTGGCAATGGCGGGCAACACAGCGACAACTGCAACTACGATGGTTATGCCAACTCCATCTACACTGTGACGATAGGTGAGTGCGTGTGTCTTCTGTCTCGTTCCTTCCCAGCTGGGAAAAGGATATCATCCTAAAAAACCTGCCCAGCTGGAAGCTGGCTGGGTAGTGGGAATCTGTGGGAAAGCATCTGTCCTCTGGGAATGAACGTGGCAGTGTGTAGGGGGTGCTGGGTTTCAGCCCTCAAGTCCACAGTTTTCTTTTGACCTACAGAGCAAAAGGAGGCCAAAGAAATTCTTGCCCGCATTCCGGCCTCCGTTGCTGGGGCTGGGACAGACACGCTGCCGTGCTGAGGGAGCGACCCGAAATGCAACATTCCCACCATGTGTGTTAGAAAAGAAACATCTAATCCCTTTTCTCAAGGGCAGAAGCTGCATGAGGGGTAGAAGATCTGTGTAATACTAAGCACAGCGGAAGGTTATTTATTATGGCTGCCTTTCCTGTAGATCTTCCAGCCGTGAGAAATGCAGGCTTGGGTCCCGTTTCCCTGCCCGGCTCCCAGCCTGTGAGAAAGTGCAGTGAGCAGGACGGGTTCTCAGGGGCTCCACACCTTGCAATGTCAGCAGTTAAAACAGAAGAGGCTTCATACGGTCGATGCCTTTCACTTTTTCCCAGGGGCGGTGGACGAGACGGGCTCCATGCCGTTCTACGCCGAGGAATGTGCCTCCATGTTAGCCGTGACCTTCAGCGGCGGGGACAAGATGATGAGGAGCATCGTGAGTACCACGCAAGGCACGCGTCTTCCCCTGGGCTCTGCTGGCCATGCCTGCCCGCCCTGCTTTCGCTCCAAAGGGATGCGGGACCACGGACAAGCACGGGGAGGGGCAGGGCTCGGGGCAGCATCGGGCTCTTTAAACTACTTGGCCCCAGCTCCTGCTCTCTTCTGGCACGTGTGCCTCTCCTAGCTGAATTTTTCAGAATATTTTTATCAGCTTTTCCTTTTTTTGCCAAAAAATGACTTCTTGTCAACAAAATGTCCTTTTTGCCCGAGCCAAGCAGCCGGGCCTGTTTTTTGCCAGCCCCGGGCCTGACCCAGCACGTTCCTCCCTTGGTGCTGGTGCACTCAGGGGGCTGCCAGGCTAACCAGCCCGTGTGGCTGTGACCCGTTCTGATTCTGCAGCTTGCTGTAAGCGTCGCTGGCTCCCAGGCCTGACTCTTTGGGGTTGTGTTGTCCCTGTCCCAGAGGCAGATCAGCACCAGCAGCATGTGCTCAGGGGTCTCGGGGGGCCTGACAGATGAGGGGAGAGTGTCTAAGGTGCTCCTGCGAGCAGGGACGTGCAGCTGTGGCTCTGAGAGGAGCCGAATCCAGGCTTGTCAAACAGGCTTCCCCGCGTGCTGGGTGAACCGGGGGAACAGGGAGAGCCTGGGCTCCTCAGTCACCCGGTTGGGACTCGGCAAGCTGCTCTTGCAGTCCAGAGCCTTCATTTCAAATACTGGCCTTATGGGACACCAACGCAGGCGCTGGTATTCCATCGAGGAGCCAGGACGAGATGCCACATGTAGCCTAGGCGCGGCACGTGCCAGAGAGCTGTCCTGCTTCTTTGCAGTGCCACGATCGCTCCTTTAGCCAGCCTGTGCCGTGTTCAAACTTGTACGCCCCTTGTTCCAGAGGATAGTCTGCTCCTAAATGCCCTTTAGCTGTGCTTCAGTGGTGTCAGAGTTAACTTCTCAGCAGCCATCTGCTGGGTTTTTTTCTTTTACCAGACTATAAACTTTGTGTGGTTTCCTTAATGGGAAGAATTTAATACAGCTTCTGGCACTAGCTCCATTTCCTTCTGAAAGTTCGTGCTGCTTAGGGCATATGTTGTAGGACATGCAGTGTCCGAGCGCAAGCTGAGGTTGTTAACAGCTGGCAGAACGTTATGGAGTCAAGCATAGAAGGCACCGAAACCTACAGCTTTTGGCAGTGCGGGCTGTCCCCCTGTGGGGAGCCCAGGGAGATGGACACATTCGGTTTGCAGTGAGGTGGCATAATTTGGGAACCTTGCAGTGCCTCTTCTGAGGCTCTGCGTGCGCTGTACAGTCCCGTACGAATCCTCTGCAGAGGCCCGGTTGTGCTCCGGTGACCCTGCGGCCAGCAGCGAAGATGAGGAAGGTCCCAAACTGAACCTGCCTTGAGTTTCCCCTGAAGCTGCTTAGTTCAGGCCCAGTTGCTCTTGCTCTCCAAAGGAAACGATCTGTGTTCATCGCTTCTCAACTGGGTTGCGTTGTCCCTGAAGCCAGGGTGTCCCAGGACTCTTTATGGTGAGCTTGAGGTCCCTATGGGAGCAGCAGCAGCTCGTTTGAATTGGTGTTTTGGTCCTAAGGCAGCAAGGCTCTGTGCGTGTGCCCGGAGTACCCTGCACAGCTCCCAGCATAGGGCCATAGCTCTCGACTGGGGAGCTGTGGTGTTGTCCTTCCCACCCTGTGCTGGTTTTTGCAGGGTACCCATGTCTTGGCTGGGAACTGTCTGGGAAACGTTTCCAGGCTCTTCAGCAGCTAATCCCTGACCCTCTCCCCCTGCTGCTGCCCTGCTCTTGTTGTCATTCTGGTCTTGGCTGAGGAAGGACAATGGGATCTCTGGCCATCCCTCCCATCTCCCAGCCTGATCTCAGCAACCACAGAGAGAAAGAAAGCTCGTGTGCTGCAAATTCCTCCCTCCTGCCTGGGGGGAAGCTGCCCCTACAGAAGAGACAGCTGGGAGACAGAGGGAATAAATGCAGTTCATGCAGGCAGGGGGTTTAGGACCACCTCCCCCTGTCTTTCTTCCAGAGGGTGAATCCTTGAGCATCCAGAGAACTTTCTCATTTTGTCTGAAAGCCTTCTACAGAGGGGGTCGGACTCTGGATGCTGGTCTCGGTGTGCTTCGGACTGGGTGCTGCCCCAGCTCACCTTTCCCTGCCCGTTTCTCTGTGACGGCAGAGAGGCCGGAGGTGTCCCTGTGCGAGGGAGCATGTGCGCTCAGCTGCAATCCCTGCTTTTCCTTCTGGCATGGCAAATCTCTTAGGAAGGGGTGTGTAGGTGTTGTGTGAGTCTCTGGTTCCCTTTAAAGGCTGCTGCGTGCCCTGGCACAGTGCAGAGGAGTGCAGCTCTATCACCCAGCACTGCGTGTAGCAATGCTCTCCCCTGCCTGGGCTGTCACGCTCTGATTCCCTCTCTGTGCAAAACCTCGCACCCCTCTCCCCGCTTTCCCATCTGTTCACCTGGGGCAGACGGCGTTGAGACAGACGTGCCTGGCTGGGCTGGCTGCCTGGCAGAGCAAGGAAACGCGCTGCTGGCTGCACAAAGCGCCCTTGTAATTGCTGTAGCAGTGGTGCAGCAAGGGCTGGGTTAGCTCCTCTCTTCCCCCAGGACAGTCAGCTCAGCCTGGCCAAAGGCGTCCTGCAGTGGAGAAGGTTTTCACTGTCCACAGCAAATAATAATCCGGCACGCTGCTGGGGTGCTCTTGCAGTAAATGAGGAGCTTGGCCTCCGCGCAGGGCACGCAGGCTGCCCTCACTCGCGAGCTTTCCACCATCTGCCTTGCTCTCTGCCAGGAGCGTGGCTGCTGGCCCTGTTCCTGCCCCCTGTGCTCGGGCATTGCTTGTTTCCTAGTTGCCTCCAGGGTGATGGTGGGGAGCCCCAGAGCCCCCATCTGCGTAGCGTGGGGGGCACGCTAGCCTGCATCCCCAGGCCTCTCGCCCGCAGTTGTGCCACAGGCTGAGCGTGGGCCGC